CCTCCTGCAGGTGGCGCGGGGAGAAGCGTGGGGTGCACCCCTCAGAGGGGGACCCCCCGCCCCTCCCGCAGGTGGAGCAGGTGGCGCGGGGGAAGCGTGGGGCGCCGCTCACCCGCTGCTGAGGGTGTGAGCTGGTGACGCCCCGCCGGGCAGCGGCCGGTGCTCCGCGTGGCCCCAGGTCACTGGTTTACGCGGGGAGCGCGCCGGGCAAACTGGGTCGCAGGGAAGCGACGTGGAAGCGGTCGGCCGGCTGCTCGGTGACCACAGGGGATGTCTTTGTTATTGAAGAAATGACATGTGTGGAACAGGACTCTCGGAGAACTCGGTAACACACGAATTGAATGAAAATGCCAGGAAAATAAGTGTCTGCGAATAAATAGCAGGCGCATGAGACAGTGTGTTACGGTTGCATTACCGAGTTTGCTTTTGCCCGGGAATGAGTTACGTGCTTCATTTTCAATGTGAATTGCCTAATAGACGAAGTCGCAGTCCACAAATGGGAACTTTCTGTTGAAAAGATTAAGCTCTTTATTTTCTTTAATTACAGATTATGTCTACTTTGAGAATTCCTCCAGCAACCCATACCTAATCAGGAGGATAGAAGAGCTCAACAAGGTATGCCTTTGCGTGTTCTTGATTGTAATATTAAAACATAATTGTTTCCCTTTGCAGATAATTGGGTAAAGGGCGTAAGAGGTGATTTTGCTTTCAGTCCCAGACTCTTTGAAATTAGAGATTTCAGATTGGAGAATTATGCAGGATTCTAGGTATTCTTTTCCTTTTTATAATCTCTGATATTAAATGTTACTGGGTATTTAACATCTGCAGATTTTTTCCAGTTGCTTAGAACTTCTCAGAGCAGGTCATTCCTGTAACCAGTCCCTTGTTATATTTAGAGTCATAATTTATATTTCTCCTTTTTTAATGAATTTGTTCTCTCACCTTTAGAAGGAGGAAACTAGGAAATACAGTGTTGAAGGGAATTTGTAAAATTTTGCCCTAGGCTAACTAGTATAATTAATAAAGTGTCTTTGTACCTTAGGCTCAAGTAACAAGAACTTTTACATTAAGGTTTGTCTCTGATCACAGGTGTCCAAGGACATCAGAAGTATTATGACTGTGTGTAGTAGATGAGCTTTTATAAAGGAGGCACACGAAAACAGTCATAAACTACTTGAACCATAGGTTTCTAATGATGCTCTGGTTTCTTACAAACCACTTTGAGGGTTATTTATGTAGCTTATGAGAATTCATACTGTTAAAATGTTTGGGGCTGTCCAGTTGATAGCTTTCCCTCAAAATACCATCTGGAGACTGGTCCGATTCTGAGTCCCAGGAAGCCAGGTCTGGTCAAGGACACTCCTGGCTTATAAACCTTGAGATCTTGGTTTGCTTCTGGGATTACATCAGGGGCCTTGCATTTTAAAGATTTCTATAGTATTTGTGACCGTTGCTGATTGAAGACAATGGCCTCAGGATTGGATCAGTCTATGAGTGGGAAGTGCCCCTCTTGCACCTCCACTCTTGCTGCTCTGCACCTTGCTTATTTGGCTCCAAGCATGGTAGACAGCACTGTTTCTCCCATGTACTCACCTTAGGACTGTTTAGTTGTTACCATTCTCTTGTACCTCGCTCTTTTTTCCATCTCCTTTACACCTTCGAATATACTTAATTATTGTGTTTATTTTCATTGCCTGTTTCCCCAGATTAGAATGTAAGCTCAGTGTGTAATGGCTGGTCCATAGTTTTGACATTCAGTAAATATTTGTTGAATTAATGGATTTCTCAAATGTCTGCTGTTAATACTTGTACATAGTTTTACTGTTTACAAAGTATTTTGATTCATTCGTTTTACAGACATTTCTGAGAACCTGCTACTTGCCAGGCACTTTTAGATATGCACTTTTAGGAATTCAGGGGTGAACAAAAATTTTATTTTTTAAGTAGGGACAGACATCAGCCGAATAATCCCACACCAGCCAAATAATCCCACACAAAGGAAATTGCAGCTGTGCTAAATTTATAACCATCAGAGCGTGATGCTCCAGGAGCATATAATCTGGGGATTCACATTCGTTACCTCTGTTGAGTCTCACAATAACCTTAAACCTTTAAGGTAGATGCACTATAAAGTGTAGTTGTGAGGCACATAGTGTTTAAATGACTGGGTTACACTTTGAGCTTGAACCTGGATCATTTCTTTATGATCTTTTCACATTCCTTTATATTACTATTCACTTCAGAAGTACCCCTCTCCCCCACCAGTCCTCACCTTATCCCTGCTCCTCTGCTTTCAGCAAAGAGTCATTAATATAATAGCTGTCTTTTAGGGGTTGAGGGTGACTGTGAGGAATGGGATTCTCTGTAACACAAAAAATGGTAGAGAGATTAAAGATGGCGGACTGAGTGGAAGCTACACTGACGCTCTTCTGGGACCAAACTGGAATTACAACTAAAATATAGAAAACCCATCCTGAATAATCAACTGTAACTGAAGAAGAGCTGGAGAGCACCCTCATAACCAAGAAGGAAAAGTAGAGACCGCATAGAGATTGGTAGGAAGTGTGGAGGGACGAGAGGGCTGGCTGGGCTCCCATAGGCAGCAGCTGAAGGTCCTGAGGGATAGCTCAGCTGTGGGGGTTCCCACTGAGGACTCTGGGGCCTAAACCCCAGGCTGGGCTTCCTGGCCAAGAGCACCAGAACTGAGAAAGGTACCCACATAACATCTGGCTGTGAATAGCAGCCAGGTTTCTGTTTGCCAGAGAAAGATGGCTGGAAATGCAGGCACCCTTTTAAAGAACCAACGCACTAAATTTCGTGTGCAGCCACTCACCTTGGGCTCCAACAGAGGGAGGACAGTGTGGACTGGAGCTGTGTGAGGAGAATCTAGGGTTGTGGGCTCTGGAGATAGAGCTCAGAGGGCACCTGTCTGGATTCCTTTGCCAAGTCATTCCCTCATACTGCAGAGGATATCTTTCACCAGCAGACACTTACCTTCCTAGCAGCTTTTGCCTGAGGGGGAAGCAATTGCCCCACCTGCTGGAAAACCTCTCACCTTACCCAGGAGTTTCTACAGCCTCACGCTCATTAAGAGACTGATAACAGTCAGCCATCTCACCCTTTGGAGTTTCTATAACCTGAGGCTCATTAAGAGAATCAGATTAATCAGCCTGCAGGAGTTCTTTGGATCTTTGCCTGATCTGCTACTGGACCTGGGCTTTGGAGAAGCAGACTTTGGTGTGCATCTTGGTCCTGTCCAAACGCACTCAGCCTCAACAGAGGGGACCTCAAGCCGTAGGTTGTTGGTAGCTCCAAGCAGAGTACTGCAGGCCAGCCACAAACAAGTGTCTGACATTGGCCTGCACCAGAACTCGTTCAAAAATTCAGAGTCGTAGTAGGTCTACCTAATACATAGAAACAAACCCAAATAGGCAGCCAAAATGGGGAGACAAAAAACAAGCCCCAAATGAAAGAACAAGAGAAGTCTCCAGAAAAAGCTAAATGAAACAGATGAGCAGTCTATCAGATATGGAGCTCAGAGCACTTATTTTAAGGATGTCCAACAGCATGAAGAAAGATATGGAAACTGTGAAGGAAATTAGGAATGACATAGCAGAAATAAAGAATACATTGGGCCCTGCCGGGCATGACTCAGCGGTTGAGTGTCAACCTAGGATCCAGGCGATCGGGGTTCGATTCCCGGTCAGGGCACATGCCCGGGTTGTGGGCACGATCAATGACTCTCTCATCATTGATGTTTCTCTCTCTCTCTCTCCCTCTCCTGTCCTCTCTCTGAAATCAATAAAGATATATTAAAAAAAAAAATACATTGGAAGGAATAAACAGCAGATTAGAGGAAGCTGAGGATTGGATCAGCAAATTAGAAGACAGGGTAGAAAAAAAAAATCACTCAGTAAGAGATCCAAAAAGGAAAAACAATTAAAAAACAGGATGACAGTCTAAAGGAGCTGTGGGACAGCATGAAATGTAACAATATTCACATTATAGGAGTGCCAGGCTATGTAGAAAGTAAGCAAGGGTTAGAGAACCTCTTTGAAGAAATAATGGCAGAAAACTTGCCTAACCTGGTAAAGGAGAAGTCACACAAGTTTAGGAGGTACAGAGTGTCTCAAGCCAGAAGAATCTAAAGAGGCCCTCCCAGACACATCATAATTAAAATGTCAAAATTCAAGACAGAATATTAAAGGCAGCAAGATAAAAACAATCCGTTACCCACAAAGGAGTTCCCATAAGGCCGTCAGCTGACTTCTCATCATAAACTCTACAGGCCAGAAGGGAATGGCATGAAGTAGTCAAGGTAATGCAAAATAAGGATCTGAAACCAAGACTACTCTATCTAGCATGATTATCATTCAAGATAGATGGGGAAATAGTTTCCCAGACAAAAAAAGGCTAAAGGAGTTTATCATCACCAAGCCAGCCTTACAGGAAATGTTAAAGGGACTGCTGTAATAATAAGAAATAGAGAGAGAAACATAGGCATAAAGAATTAAAATGGCAATAAATAAGGACCTATCAATAATAACCTTAAGGACTTTCAGGGAGAGAGCAACAGCAATATAGTCATAGTTGTGGACTTAAACACCCCACAGACTTCACTGGATAGATCTTTCAGACAAAAAGTCAACACAGAAACAGTGACTAAAATGGCTAGATGGATTTAATTGATATTTACAGAACATTTCACCCCAAAGCTGCAGAATATACATTCTTCTCAAGCGCACATGGGTCACTCTCAAAGATAGACCACATGTTAGGATACAAAACCAGTCTCTACAAGTTCAAGAAGATTGAAATCATATCAAGCATCTCAGATCACAAGGCATGAAATTAGAAATCAACTACAGTAAAAACACTCAAAAACATTCAAATACATGGAGGCTAAATAACATGTTATTAAACAATGAATGGGTTACCAATAAGATCAAGAAAGAAATAAAACTTCCTGGAGACAAATGAAAATGGACACAAAACAACCTAAAATCTATGGGACACAGAGAAAGCATTCCTAAGAGGGAAGTTCATGGCACTGCAGGCCTACCTCAAAAAGCAAGAAAAATTTCTAGTAAGCTATCTAACACTACAACTTAAAGAATTAGAATGCTCCCTTGTGAAACTGTCTGGACCAGGGTTTTTGTTTGCTGAGAGGTGTTTTTTATTACTGCTTCGATTTCACCAGTTGTTATTGGCCTATTCAGATTTTCTGATTCTTCCTGATTCAGTTTTACATGATCTCACTCATATGTGGAATCTAATAAACAAAATAGACTGAGGAACAAAATAGATCCAGAGACAGAAGCATGGAACAGACTGATGAATCTCAGTGGGAAGGTGGGGGTGGGGGAGTGGGTGCGGAGACATTAATCAAAGAACTTAATGCATAAATGCATAACCCATGGACACAGACAGTAGTGTGGTGAAGACCTGGGGGCGGTGCGGATGCAGGGTGGAGGGGATCAATGGGGGGAAAAAGAAACGGCTGTAATACTTTCAACAATAAAGATAAAAAGAAATGGTAGTTTGGATGGAGTATTGGTAAACAACTGCGATTCGCTAGTTAAGTATTAAACATTTATGTAGGGCCTTTATTTCTGAAGGAATGTGAAAAAGATCTCATTTTCACTAATTCATTAAACAAATATTTCCTGAGCACCTGTTATATACTAGGGACTATGGTAGGCTCAGATGTAATAGTGAACCATATGGACATGATCCCTGACCACATGTATTCTCATGAAGGAGATAGGGAGATGCATAAAAAGATGTTAACAGGCAAAAGGAAATAGTTATAAACAGTGTTAACTTCTAAGAAGGAAATAAGTAAGAGCCTTGCGTGAGGAATAACAGGTCACTTCCTTTGGATAGAGAAGGAAAGGATTTTAAGGACATTGAAGTTGAGGCCTAAAGGATGAGAAAGGTAGCCATGGGAGAGAGGCCACAAGAGTATTCCAGAAAGGCCTTGACTACTTAGAGGTCAAGTTGGCAAAGTGGGGACAGTGAACTTGATTGGAAAATACAAATAATGATTTTAAGAACACTTGATACATAATTGATAAGCCAGGGGAAGAAGGGACATTAACCTATTTTATTAACTATCTTCTAAATAGAATTTTTAAAACCAAATGCCTAGGATAAACTGTCAATCACCATTGTTACAGAAAATAACACTTTTATTTTCTTTAAATTTACTTTTGTAAGTTGGCTCCTGGTTGGAAAAAAATCCTATTTGAAATGTTACTTGCTTAGTTTGAAAGCTTGACTATAGTATTTCTTTTTTATATGTTTTTATTGATTTCAGAGAGGAAGGGAGAGAGAGATGGAAATATCAAAGATGAGAATCATTGATCGGCTGTCTCCTCCACCCCTCTACTGGGGATCAAGCCTGCAACCTGGGCATGTGCCCTGACCAGGAATTGAACAGTGACCTCCAGGTTCATGGGTTGACACTCAACCACTGAGACACACTGGCCGGGCTGATTATTATTATTATTATTTTTATTATTATTTAATATATCTTTATTGATTTCAGAGAGAGGAAAGGAGAGGGAGAGAGAGAGAGAGAAACATCAGTGATGAGATAGTCATTGATCGGCTGCCTCCTGCACTCCCCCGACTGGGGATTGAGCCTGAAACCTGGGCATGTGCCCTGACCGGGAATTGAACCCCGATCACCTGGATCCTAGGTTGACGCTCAACCGCTGAGCCACGCCCAGTTTGGCTTACTATTATTATTATTATTATTATTTTAAAATTACAGTAATAGATTTTATTCTCAATTTTTCCAGAAAAGTTTTGGGAACTTTTAGCTGCAAAACAATATCAGTTGATGAATACAATTCAACACTGTTTATCACATATTCCCTCTTTTCCTCTTTCCTAATTTGTACCTAGATACAGTGAAGATGATCTTTTTGGAGGAAGAATATAAGGTTAAAATAGAAAACAACTTTTTGATAAATTATATTTAGTCACTACCTAGGTTGGGTGTTCCTCTTGTTTCTAAAGGGTGAGTCTACTACATATATGTTGAAAGAGATCTTTCTGCACATAATAATGGGGATGTAGTTTCAGGAAGTTTTGGAAGTTATGCTTGTAGATAAATCAATGTGTTACTATATTTACTTTTTTTTTTTTTGGTGTGTAAGTTGTATAATTTATATATATCTTCACATTCTGGATATTTTATTAATCTTCAAACTTTCTGAGTTTCATTTTAATGTTTAGGGTCTTATTTTTGTGTGTGTGGAGTGGGGGAGATTCACTAACATCTTTAAGCTTCTGATGACCATCTCGCCAAATCTACATTTGCACATACAAAATTTTGCTCATAATTTCAGGAGATTCCTTCAAAACCCTTTTATGGAATGCAAGTTAATACCCATCCTGTCATTTAGGATCTTTCGGAACTAAGGACAGAAATTGGGAAAGGAAGTCCTTTTCCACTTATTCTTCACTTTGAGTAAACCATGGAGTTTCTGAAATGGAAGTGTTTTTTTTTTTTAATTAAAAAAAAAAAAGTACTTTCTAAGTATGGGATAGAGACAGACATGAGTATGAGGTTGACTAAAATGATTTTAGAGCTTAAGACAACCTTTTATTGCTAGAGGATAATTTAGTAAATGTGTTTGAGAGAATTGAGATTTAAGATGTTGCAACAGCCCGGCCGGGCGTGGCTCAGAGGTTGAGTGTCGACCTAGGATCCAGGCAATCGGGGTTCGCTTCCCCGTCAGGGCACATGCCAGGGTTTCGGGCTTAATCCCCAGTCCGGGGCATACAGGAGGCACCTGATCAGTGACTCTCTCATCATTGATGTTTCTTTCTGTTTCTCTCCCTCTCCTTTTCTCTCTCTGAAATCAATAAAGATATATTAAAAAAAAAAAAGATGCTGCAACCTATTTTGAAAAAAGAACCCAGGAAAGAAATTGATGTTCACTGTGGATTCTTCTATATACATGTCCCCAACTTTTGCTACCTGTTGGGTTTTCCTCAGGGTTTTTTATTTTTCTTAGATACCTCACTCCTCCAGGCTTCATCAGTTGGGACTCCTTTGCTTCTTTCCTAGCAGACTAAGGTCCCTTGACCCCATTTCCTCCATGAAGCTTTTTCTATCCTTTCCCCAACAGGTTGTACTCCTGCCTCCATGAATGAGAAGTGGAGTCTGGAGGGGACAGGCGGAAGTAAAGGAATATAGTGCTGGGAATATTGTCAGGGATGTTTTACCTTTATGTGTTAGCTCTGGGGGACTGGTGAAGGTTTCTAATCAGGTGAGGGGCAAGATTATAACTTGGGTTTTAGAAGGTTTGGAGAGGAGATGACGTGTGACCAGGCATCCTGGCTGGAGTGGAGGCTTAGTGAGGACAGGCACCATGAGTCTGCAGTGCTTAGCTCAGTTCCTGGGCACATAGGAAGGGCTCAAAAAAATTTGGTGAGCTCTGGCCCAGTAGTTCAGTTGGTTAGAGCATCGTGCCTGATGTGCCAAGATCGTGGGTTCGATCCTGGTCCGGACACATATAAGAATCAACCAGTGAATGCACAAATAAGTGGAACAATAAATGTATATTTCTCTCTCTCTCCCTTTCTCTCTAAGGTCAATAAATAGTTCAAAAAATTTGGTGAATAACCAAAGAATGTGTATATATAGATATATATCTATATATATCTGTCCAGAGTTTATATATAGCAAATATTTAACCTAGGCCTGAGAGCAGTGCTTTTCAAACTATTTATGGTAAAGAATTTTCACTATCTCAGACTGTTTTTGTAAAATTAAAAAAGGTAGAAAAATTAAATTTAAAATAGGTTTATAAAAATACAAGCTCCCATTTTAGGTTCAATAGGTATTAGGTTAACTCAAATGCTATAATACACTTACTCTCAGTTTTGTGCTCATTTTATTACAGAGTAACACTGCAGAGTGAGCCTTAGACCATGATTTTGATAGCTCAGCTTTAGAGGGATGCTTGAGGGTTTTTTGTGTGAGTGTGTGTGTGTTGTAGAGGAATACTATAGTTAGTTGTAAACTACCTAATAGCCAAGTGTGTACATAATTCAGAAGAGAATATTTATTTTGAATTATTCCCCTCCATCTCAAGCAGGTTTAAATAAGAATTTAATTAGCTTTGTAGAGTATTCCTATGGAAGGAACTTACTGATGAGACTGAAAAAAATAATCCGTGAAACTCTTGTTTAGGGTTTTTAACATTTGTGTCAAGAAGACAGAAATGATAAAGGGCTTATAATTGAAGTCATTGATAGATTTTATTTACGTGGAAATATTGGCTTCTTTTAGCAGATTACTGGATCATTACTTTTGAGGATGTATTTGATCATGTATTAGGATTTAATACAATTTCAATTTTAAGGGGCAGTATTTCTACAAGACTATTTTTCATTCTAAAACTGCTTCTGAACTTCATAAAATTGGCAAATTCAGTGCAGCACATATATATTCTTATTTATGTTTGACTATATCTGTAAGCCCAGAGAAATTGTAAAAATTTGTTTTTAAATGTGTTTGAAATTGGAAATCACAATAGCTTTTTATTGTGCTCTATATGTTTTTACAAGGAACTTTGTAATGAATGATTGACCTTCTTGAAAGCTCTCAGAATTCATAAGGAATCAGAGAGTTGGAGCCTGGGCCCCAGCTGCAGTAAATTACAACCTAACTGAATATTGATTGTATTCTAGACTGTAGTCAGAAAGAAATAAGAGCTTCAGTGTTCATAACTCAAGGTTTTTAATACTTTCATATGGGAAGGTAAAGTAAGTACTGCTAAGGTTATTGAGTATTATGAATTCATAGACTCCCTTGGGCTGGAAAATGCTTTTCCAAGTAATCTGGTGCATTCTGCGTGATGGCCGCCCTGCACCTGCAGAGCTGCAGAGCTCGCGGTTGTTCAGGAGAGGCCTGGGTGATTTTACTCTTGGTCTGTGCTTCTGGGAGTGGTTTTGGAGGAGTTATGTTTAACTGTCTTAAATTCTGTTGTGGCTGAAGTTTTTGGGATTAGTTCCTAAGGCTAATCAGATTTAACTATGTCTGGCTTTATTCATTAAAACGGTCTGATCACTTTAGTTTAATTGATGCCAGTAAGTTATTTTATGTTTGACATTTTAGCTTCACTTGGAACTTGAATAAATGTTGCTCATTTTTATTTGAGTGTTTTAGCTCTCTGATTATCCTGCAGTTGTGGTTGGCACAGTGTAAATGAGAGTGATCTTATAATTGTGCTGTATCTAGTTTTGTTTTAAAAACTATTTGAATCTAATTCAGTACAGATGACTTTTATTTTTCTTATTTCTTAGACTGCAACTGGCAACGTGGAAGCAAAAGTAGTGTGCTTTTATAGACGACGAGATATTTCCAACACGCTTATAATGCTTGCAGACAAGCATGCTAGTAAGTTCATTGTTTTTCTCTTGGATTAATAAAAAAATGTTTTAAGTCTTTCGTTTTCCATGATGTGAGGAAAAACCCTTTTTTGTTACCTGTAGCTTTTTGCTTTCTTTTTTGCCTTCTAGTCTGACAGATGGGGGGTAGTTTTTTGGGTGGTGTTTGGTTTTAGTATATTTTTTTAGGTTGCATCATATGTTTCTTAATTAGTCAAAATGTTGAAATAGAAGTCTTTGCAAGTAGGCTTTAGCAGGCAGGGCAGTGTTTTGCCATCTTTCATTTTTGTTGGTGGTTTCAGTGTACAAATAGGAAATTTATACTTCAATGGTCTTTTCTTGGAGGACTCCTCCCTTCCCCCAAATAACTGGGTAATATTTACATTAAAAAAAATTCTGAATATTTATTGTGTTTATAGTATTAGGTATGTATTAAAATTTTGCTAGAAAAAGAAGTGCAAAGTGATATTTAGGTATTGATTTCTGTAGATGACAACTCTGGGCACTTCTTGTTTTAAAATTTTTAAAAATTTAAATATAGTTGGTATATGTCTCAGTACTTGTAGTATAATCTGTATTGTGTTTTTTGGTTAATCAAAAGCTTTGACATATTTTAGCACCTTTGTTTTTTTAAAACAGTAATCATAAAAAAGTGATATAAATTTTAGGAAAGAAGGCATATATAGATAAGTACTTTATTTGAAAGCCATTTTTCAGTTAGATACTGTGATCTGTAATGAGTGTTGGGGATCTGGAAGCTTTAGGAGTGATGTGGTAATGGGTAAGGGAGGCCGTTGTGTGAGCCGTTGTGTGTTGTTCTCTTCTGTTGGCTGGAGAAGTATTTTTTCACTATGTTGCCAATTTAAACAGGCAGATTGGTTGTCTCATAAGTTAAATTCCTATTATATATTCTGCTATATAGTTCATAGTGTTTTTTTAATGCATTTCTATTTTTGTATAGGAAATATTCATTATGATATGGGTTGTATAATATTTGCAAATTATATATTGACAGATTCAGGGCATTCCTGTTTGTTCTTCATGTATGAGACCAAAATAATTGCTTTTTTGCTTTTTCCAAGTGAAAGCGAGTTTATTAGTGAAGCAGTGAGACAGAAAACGGGCTACTCTACAGACAGAGTTGCCAAAATAATTGCCTTTTAAAATGACATACTAGCCCTGGGCTGGTGTGGCTTAGTTGGTTGGGTGTTATTCTGTGCATGAAAGGTTGTCTGTCTGATTCCTGGTCAGGGGCTGCTCTCTCCTTCTGCCTTCCCCTCTCTCTAAAAATCAGTAATGAAAAAAATTTAAAGATGCCAGTTGGTTTTTCTGCCTCAGTAATTTTAGAGCATCTCTTTGGGTGGATTACTTCTATTTACATTTACCTGTTTTCATTCATTATTTATTGATATGTTTTAGTGTGCTGGAGTTAGAGGTATCTTTCTATGTTTCTATTGGAACTGACTTAAACTTAAGGTGGGGAGAACAAATAATATTGCCTGAATAGTCCATGTTTTATAAAGAGATTTATGGGAGGATTAATAGAGAGTCTCATATAGTAGAAAGATTTCAAAATTGGAATCCTGTGCCCAGCTGTTGTGGCTTAGTGGTTGAGTTTCAGCCTATGATCCAGGAGACTGAGGTTTGATTCCTGGTCAGGGCACATGCCTGGGTTGTGGACTTGATCCCCAGTAGGGGTTCACAGGAGGCAGCCGATCAATGACTCATCATTGATGTTTCTCGCTCTCCCGCTCCCATCCTCTCTCTGAAATCAATAAAAATATATTAAAAAAAAAAATTGGAATCCTGGGTGTGGATACCACTTAATTTTCCTGAGCCTTAGTTTATCCATTTAAGAAACTTCTCGCCTGGCTGGGCGTGGCTCAGCGGTTGAGCATTGACCTAGGATCCAGGTGATCAGGGTTTGATTCCCGGTCAAGGCACATGCCTGGTTGCGGGCTGCAGTTGATCAATGACTCTCTCATCATTGATGTTTCTATCCCTCTCTCTCCCTCTCCCTTCCTCTCTCTGAAATCAATAAAGATATATTTAAAAAAAAAAAAAAAAGAAACTTCTCATTATGGACTCCTCTATTTTTAAAAAATATATCTTTACTGATTTCAGAGAGAGGAAGGGGGAGAGAGAGAGAAACATCAATGATGACAGAGTTGTCATTGATCGGCTGCCTCCTGCATGCCCCCGAATGGGGATTGAGCCTGCAACCCAGTCGATGCTCAACTGCTGAGCCACACCCAGCGGGGCTCATTATGGACTCCTTTAAAGCTTTCATTACAGAAAATTTCAAACATATAGATTGCAGAGAAATAGTATAATGCACCTGATATTTCTATTACTCTGCTTTAACATTTTTTTTTCTTTTGCTTTAAGTTATTAATACATGACCAACTGATTAATCTAGACCAGCAGTTTTCAACGTTTTTAATCTCATGGCACATGTAAAGTAATTACTAAAATTCTGTAGCACACCGAAAAGTATATTTTTTGCTGATTTGGCAAAAAATTAGTTATAATTTTGATTGACTTACAAAAAATAATAGCGATTACCTACTGTTTTTACGCCAAAGGGACTTAAAAAATATATATATCTTTATTGATTTCAGAGAGGAAGGGAAAAGGGAGAGAGATAGAAACATCAATGATGAAAGAGTCATTGATCAGCTGCCTTGTGCATGTCCCCGACTGGGGATCGAGCCTGCAACTTGGACATGTACCCTGACCTGCAATCGAACTGCGATCTCTTGGATCATAGGTCGATTCTCAACTGCTGAGCCACACCAGCCAGACTATGTTGTTATTTTGTGTGGATTCAGATAGTAGTGTTGACTATTCTTAAACTTTAAATAAATGAGGCATTTTAGGATGTGGTAATATTACTAGGCACTTAGGTTATGATATGTTTCATGTGAAAGGTGAGGTGACTTTTATACATAGTTCTTATCATATCCCAGTCTAGTTGTTATGTTCGTATAAAATGTTTTGGTGTCAAAGGATATCTTGGGAACTTAATTTTTTTAAAGATTCATGCAGTATATGACTCAGAATTATTAAAAATATGTAGAGTGCTTAATATGTTTCATAGTTTTGGGACTAAAATGGAGTTTTATAAAAGATTTAGAACCAGTGATGACAATTGAATGTTACCTCAAAGTACTGAAATTGGATGTTTTGAATACATCTGCTTATCTGGCCTTGACACACAGTTTGTACATTCTTAGTGCTCAGTGTTAAGTTCTTTAATGTTGGGGACATGGTCTCCATCATCTTTCCAGTCTGTGTGTGTCTTGTTCATTATAGTTGCTCCGTAAATATTTGTAGCTTTATATTTACCAGGGGAACAAATCTGAAGGATAGCCAGGCTACTGGTTGTTTTGTTTTAGTATCTTGGTTGGCTGAAAAGAATCTTTGGTGGTATTCATACATGATCCCCAGATTCTTTAACATTCCATTCATTGGTAGGTGGGGTCCATGTCTTATCCCCTTGAATGTGAGTGGGTTGTGACGAATATAGTGTGGTGGAAATAATGCTATGTGTGTCCCAGGGCTAGGTCATAAAAGGCCATTACAGCTTCCTTCTGGTTCTCTTGGAATGTTTGCTCAGGATATTCCTGCTTGGAATTCAGCCGCCATCCTTTGAGAAGACTAAGCCACATGAAAGGCCATATGCAGGTTCTATGGTTGACAGTCCTAGTTGAGCCCAGGTGCTGCAGCCACCACCATTTGGGTTCCTCTTGAGGCACAGCAAGACTTTTGTGCTGTGCCCTGTCTGAATTCCTTATCCACTGAACCTGTGAGCAAAATAAAGTAGTTGTTTTGTGTCATTAAGTTTTGGGATGATTTGTCACCGGACAATAGATAAATGAAACAGGATAATAGATTTTCTGTTTTTCTGTATTTTTTAATGACAATTTAGAATTAATATCTAAGCTTATGACTGTCTACTAAAAGTATCGAATGAACTATTAACTGTTTTAAAGTAAACCTCATTTTCTTGTGACAAAGAGAAAGTGAGGATCCTGTAATTATTTTAGAGAGGAAGTTATTAATAAAGGAGTGAGGGTCAAGGTTTCTTAGATACTGGAAGAGCAAATTATTTTAAGTTGTGAGTTCAGTAACAGTATGAAAAGCCAAATAAAGGTATTTTTCAACACACAAGAAGTATGACATAAATCAATAATTTAGGAATAAATTCCAGATAATCAGAACATTAGAAATGGGTAAGGGAATTAAAAGTCTTCTAAAAATCTGTTACTTTGGGGAAAGGGAAGGTTATAGGTACTGTTAAACTTATTATATTGATAGAAAGTTCATATTGGTTATCATAATTTAAGGATAACCCGTGGAAGGATACAGATAAATCATTTGACTTTACTTTATCTACATTATTAGATTAAGAGATGAACTTAAAATGGTCCCAAATAGACCCCAACTCAATAGAAGCAGGAAAGAGAACAATAAGGTAAATGTAAGTTGACTAGAATGAGTTGAAACATGTTAATAACAAAAATGTGAATGGAATAAATTCTGTTAAAAGGCAGACTGCTAATTCATAACATTTGTCTATAAATGAGGCCCAAAGAAAACTTCAACAAATACCAAAAGCAAGAGCTGCACAAGTAACATTCTGTCTATAAAGCAATGAAGTAAACAATTAGCAATTATAGGAAACCAGCCGTGTTACTGTCCAGTTGGGAAATCTAAAAAACATGCTTATAAGTAGCTTTTGTGCTACAGGAGAAATAAAATCTGCTGATATGCCCTGGCCGCTGGGCTCAGTGGTTAGAGCATTGGCCTACACTCTGAAAGGGTCGAGGGTTTGGTTCCTGGTTAAGGGCACGTACCTGGGTTGTGGGTTTGATCCCTGGCCCTAGCCGGGGTGTGTGTGGAAGGCAACCAATCGATGCCCCCCCCACTCTCTCTAAAAATCAATGGGAAACATATTCTCAGGTGAGGATTAATAGAACAAAACAAAATAAAACAAAAGAAATCTGC